TAGTACACTCCAAATGCCACAATACAACTGACTGGTTGCTGGCTAACTCGACGATAGGTCCAGGACTCGCTGACTGACTCAGTACAACTCTGCGGTAGCCACACTAGAACTGGCTGTGAATAGCCTTCGCTTCTCCCTATGTAGCCTCGATCGGACAATACGGGAAAACGGCCACGTAATAGGCACCCTTTTGCCTGGCGCTCTGTTGCTATGTAACGCTAGCGGAGGTCACCGCTGTTACTATCGTAACGTCGCCGCTGTTGATTCGCGTTGCCTAGCGACCGCGATATCCCTCGGTGACGTCACCGCGGAGGGGAGTGGCGGGGCGGGAACTCGCCTATTTCGTAAGAACGCGAGCGTTACGTTACCGCCACGTACCGCTGGGGAGGTAGGGGTGATCCATGGCTCAACACGTCACACTATTCTTAGTGGTGTGAGACTGAGTCCATTTGGTACCGCAGCCACTATTAGCCTATTGTACCAGCCCCAGATGATAGATGAGGTGATTATGGAGCAACTGATGTAATGAAGATTGGCAGGGGAAACCAAATTCCCAAAGAAAACCTGCCCCAGTGTCACTCTGTCCACCACAAATCGCACATGACGTGACCTGGGTCCAAACCCAGGCCGCTGCAGTGGGAAGCCAGCAACTAACTGCTGAGCTACAGCAAGGCCTACTGGCTATCCTAAGGTTAAACATGGCCATCTTCCAAAAACGATTCCAGGATAGTACCTTAAATTAGGACATGATCATTTCCATATTCTTTCAAATTCATCATTCACTATTATCAAATAATTTCACAACATACAGTCTTGAGGTCCTGACAGCATTGTTAAATAAACTACACAGAAATAAAAAAAAATAAATATTATAGCACCACAAGACCTGCCCTGCAGCAGGGCATGGAGCATTGGGCGGGGCAGGGCGTGCATCACAAACCCATTTGAATATATTGGCGTGTCCTGGAACCGTGCGTTTTGAGCGGAGCGGGCAGCGTGCTGTACTAGCGTGGAAAGAGCGTGCAGCGTGCAGGTCAAACCAGTTTGTTTCAGTAGCATTAGGAGCGTTTGGAAGAGGTCTTTTGAGGAAATAATTTCGGAAGTTCAACGAAAGCCTGAAATATGGCCCTCTCACCATCCGTTATACAAAAGCAGGGTGACAGCGAAGAAAACATGGAATGAAATTGCAGTAAAACTTGGGATGGAAAGTATTTATATTTTTATTTTATTACGCTCTTATGTTTTCTTGAGAAATATCCATAAACATGTCCATTGTTCATTGCTACAGAAGATGTTATTGAATTAAATCTGACATTTGACAGAAATAGTTTACGAAAGTCTCGTACATTTCTTGCTATGAAAACACCTGAAAATGCTGAATGCTGGATGTGCACTGAGGACACAGCAGCGGCTGCTGCCGTCCCTACCATAAAGTTGCCCACACTCCGCTCCACACCCCGCCGCACTCAGGCTGTACCCTAAAAGACAGTGTCATCATATCCAAACATAGAGCAGATCAAGGCTGTGACACATTCTGATCAAAGAGGCCTGTAGCTAAATCACTTTTACAGTAATGGTACAGTTGAGATTCAAGGTTCTCACAGTAGTAACTGTGGAGAATACTATTCTCTGAGATCTGATGCCTTGTAGCCTGGTGAATATTCTGCAGTGTTTGGGAGGAATATGTTGCCTCCATTTTCATGGGGATAAGACATAAGGAAAACGCCTATTTTTAACATTCCAAATGTAGAACAGTTTTTGATGTAAAAGTTGTCCCTGTGCTTAACTAATTAACCACTGTGCCATGAGGCATATGGGGGAATGCATATCTAGATCCATATTTTCTTGACCTTGGCACTAGTTGAACCCCTGCCTCTGCTGCTTTACCCCCAGGGAAAGAGCCCTCGGTACCCACTGGATATGAGGCTGGGCAGGACCCAGAGCCTGTTTGGACAAAGTGAAGACAGAAAAATTATGACCCCACCAGGATTTGAACTCCGACCCCTTGGTCGTCCAGCCCGTAGCTAGTTGCTGTACCAACTATCCCAGCTCCTATTTTCTGTGTAATGAATCACTAAATAAAACTCTGTGTACGCATACTTAGGTATGTTTTACATAACTTATGTGAATTTCATTCAAATCTGCAGAGCCCCACATTTTTTAATTAAAAAAAAAATTTGCATGACCATTCAGAAGAAAGAAGCAATTCCAGTTCTTCCAGTATTCTGTAAGGGGAGCTAGGATACCTCAGTCAGTATAGCGACGGGCTATGGGCTGGACAGCCGGAGTACAATTCCTGGCAGGGTAAAGAGATTTCTCTCTTCTCCACCATGTCCAGACACACTCTGGGGCTCACACAGCCTCCTATCCAATGAGAATCAGGGGCCCTTTCCATGAAGGTAAAGCAGCTGGTGTGTGAAGCTCAGCACTCACCACTATCTAGTGCTGAGGTCAAGAATTGTGGAACTATACCTTCACTCCCCCACGCATATTCATGGTGTGGTGCTTAATTAATTAAGCACAGGGACAGCTTCACCTTCCTCTGAACTACAGCATACAGTAATTTAGGGGCACTTTCATAACAAATTTAGGCTTCTGCTTGTATAAGGTATAACAAACAAGTTTAAGTACTGTTTCAGACTACATTTTGATCCTAATACTTACAGTCCTGATGAAATGAAAACAGTTATGTATTATTATGACTCCCAGATCTAAATCAATCTGTCCCTTTTCTAGCATCTTGTGGACTTCATTAAATCCTTCGAGACGCTCGTTGAAATCTGGCTGCTCTACCCACTTGGGATTGAAAGCATTAAGCCTTGATATCAGCTCTGCACTAGCAACTAGGTGTTCCTTCCGCTCTTCACTGCTACGCTTAGCAACTGTTGTCAGCAAACGATTCAAAAGCTTTCTTGGCCCTGGAGCATTCACTTCACCAAATAATGGAGCCAAAGACCTGGAAAACATGCAAAACTTAATTATAAAATGGAGAAATTTTCAATCTATTAAAAAATTGAAGTCAGATAATACACTACATGGTAGGAAGAAGAGCACTCCAAAAGTATGTTCCTAATTGTTAAGTGACCTTATAACTGCTCAAAACCTGTAGAGCATTTATGTAACTCAAGAGAGACAAGCTCATGATTGATAAAAAGCATACCACAGCCTTTCAAAATAACAGACTGTGATCAGGGCTGGTGCAGGCCCGAACACTTGCTATCTCTTCAATGGAGGACAATATGAGCCATTCATAGTTTCTACAAAGATTGTGTATGTCAGTCCTCATGTAGCCTAATACAAGCCACAAAACTGACATATTCATTTACCTAAGGTGTTTTTCTGGTTGTGTAACATTTTTGAACAAGTTATCAAGAGTGGTAATAAAGTGAGAGACTGTCTCCTCTCCTGCATGCATCTTCTTTCCAAGCAGTGGCAGCAGAAGGCGTAGCAGTGTGTCACTTGTTGAATCATCCCAAACAAGTTCTGTCACTCTTGACAGAACAATCAGGTCCCGTTGACTCAAACTCCTGTGTTTCTTTGATCCTAGTTTGCGTTCTAACCTCTCCAGAATGGCAGAAATATGAGGTAGAAGCAAACAGCTGCCATAGTTCAGATTCTCATGCACTATAAGAAAACATTAAAACACAAGTTAAGTGGTGAGCATGTGGTTGACAGTGAATACAAAGATTACCGCATTCTTGGATGTAATACCACACTGTCTGGTAAAGTTAGTATGAAGATGAAAGTAGCAAGTTCCTCTGAAACACTGGTACCTTTACAGCAGATAACATGGAATGATATCCCAGATGACAGTAAATCTTAACTCAGATGAGAGTAAGTTTGAACAATTAAGCAAGCAAAGATGGTGAAGTTTCACATCAACAAAAAAAATTAAAGTATGAAATATATCAGAGTAAACGGAACTGTAAAATCAATACCTACATTTGCCAATGTTTGGGAGGAATGCACTTCCTCTATCTTCTGCCATAGACTGAGATGGCACACTCCTCTGAAACATCTGCAAACATCTACCAGAAATCGCACCCCCACAGCAGAGAAGTCAGTAATCTTCACAGTGACTAAAATCTCATAACTGTAAAAATGACTCATTCTATGGAAACACAAATTACACGAATATGGAAAATGTAAAAGTAATGGGTATGTGCAGCAGCCTCCGTAGTCTAGAGGTAACGTTCCCACCTCATGACTCGTAGTATGAGGGTTCAAAAACCCGGCGGAGGTCGTCAAATTTTTAAGGGCGGAAAAATTCAGGGAACAAGTCCTCCGGGAGGGACTTTAAGCCGTGGGTCCCGTGTCGTAGCTTTACGGCATGTAAAAGAACCTCATATCTCCAAAGGAGGTCACTGAGCCAAATTACGGACATTTCCCGCCCAACAGCAGCCTCTAATACCTCTGGTAGATGGGGGAGGCATTATAGATACCTCTCAGCTAGTAGAGCCAGTCTCGCTGGCTGGGCAGGACTGATGATAAGCACCAGTACCGGTAGGATATAGACTGGTAGAAATCATAGAGGGAAGCACAATGGACCAATACAGGTCTAAGTGCATGGGGAAACCCACCCTCTCCAATAACTAACTAACTAATGGGTATGTGTAAAATGAATTATTTACATGAGAGTTTTGTTATCGCCTGTAAGTCAACTTGCAGTTTTAGGGTGACTGGTATATCTGGAGCCACCTCAGCGCCTTCATTCCTTTCTTCTTGGTGATCTTGTAGCGTCAATAACCTCTCCACTAACTCCATGATAGAAGTAGTGACTGATGGGTGACTTTGTGCACGCAGCAGAAGATTCATAATATATGGCAACGGAGTTAAATTCTTGTTTCCTCTCGCATGTTTTGCCAAAAGCACAAAATATCTGAAATGGAAATTATTATTTGTGGTATTTACAGCTTCTGCTACAATATTCGTTACTGTAATGCAGATTTTTTTATTTTGATATGTTAACTTTGATTCAAAAGAAAATAACACTAGCCATATTGACATGTCAATATTGACTCAATGAGCAAGTAATGCTTCTCAAGTAAATACTTAAATATTAATTTTTCCCATGTTGTAAAACACTACCAGAATTCCTAAGTCCTCTTCATTTTTATCAGTCAAAATTTCAATTTCTTTTTTTTTTCTATATCAGTCAAGCAATCTCCTGCCATCTAGGATTATGCACAAGAACTAAAGTAAAAACAATGTAAATGAAAGGCAGATGTGGAATATACTAAAAAAGGAATATGTGAGAGAAATATGTTACAGCCAACAAGCAAAGAGAATGTCTTAAGTGCAGACTATATCACCTCTGACAAATGATGGTTAAAAACCTTAAGACATCTGAGATGACGATCTTCATCTTCAATGCTGCAAAGATTTTCCTGAAGCCTCACATAATATTTTTAGCAATACCAAACTTTCTTCTTTTAAAGAAAATCACAATTAGGCAAACAAAAGTAATACCATCGATCTACACGTCAGACAAATGTATTAGTTACAGAACACTACAGGAGGAATCTGAGACCACAGCAAAATTTAAATACAGTAAGAATATTATCCCAGCCTATTTTTACCTGGGATGTTTGCTCCACACCAGAAAGAGCTTCAGTAATGCTGTAGGGCTGTGTATTCCTTCCACTGGCAGCTTTTCCAACCATGGCCACACCAACGTTTGAAATATGACATCCATTTCAACTTCACTCCAAGCATAATTATAATAATGTTCAAAAAAACGTGCTGCTATTCCTTGGCACGAATTTCGCAATGTAAGTAATATAGGGAGGTAGCCAGGGTGTATCATGTCTCTGCATGCAAGTGCACCTTGCACAATGGCAGAAATACAGAACAAAATTTTCAGTAGATAAGGCAGCAACCTCTGCCCCATCAAACGGCCAAATTTGTCCAGTACAACACTTAGAAGGTTCAGAGAGCTCTGTAAGCGTTTTGGTGGAATTATGTGTTCAAGATCCAGAGTGTCAAGGATTGTATCTACCATAGCAACAGGATCATCTGTGGAATCATGAAAAATAAAACTGAAATCAATAAGGGAAACAGAAATCTTATTACACATATTGTTCAACAGTAACAAAAGGTTAACAACTAAAAAAACCAAAGTTACTTACTTATGGAGCTGAGAACTTCTTGAGGAGCCGCCATATCTGCAGCTACTCAATTTCCCAGCATTTTATGGAACCGGAAGGTTCATTACCTTGTTCACAAGAGCCCTCCACTGATCCCTATTCTGATGCAGATCAATTCAATCCATACCATCCCATCCTATCTCTCTAAGATCCATTTTAATATTGTTCATCCACCTATTCCTTGGTCTCTTTCCTCCTAGCTTTCCCACAAATATCCTATATGCATTCCTCTTCTCCCCTATTCGTATTACATGCCCTGCCCACCTCATCCTCCTTGACTTGATCATTCTAATTATACTTGGAGAAGAGTATAAGTTATGAAGCTCCTCATTATGCAGTTTTCTTCAACCTCCTGTCACTTCATCTTTCTTTGGTCCAAATATTCTCAACCACCCTCAGTCTATGTTCCTCCCTTAATCTGAGAGACCAAGTTTCACACCCATATAGAACCACAGGCAAAATTATACCTTTGTATAAAGGATCAAAGTTACAACAGCATTTTGACATGAACTCCTTCAACATGAAATTTATTAATTCTTCGAAAGTCCTAAGAAGATGGTACCTGACTATAAGAGTGCTGAGGAGAATATGTGACCTGAGAATTGTGACAAGAACTAGAGATAATTACGTAAAAATAAACTTCATAATCCATATTCTTCACCAGTCAATAATGTGATCAAAACAAGGAGATCAAAAGGCATACAAAATTCTAGTATGAAAACCTGAAGGAAAGAGACCACTTATATGAGAAATAGGAACAGATGGGAGAATAATATTAAACTGATCTTAAAACTTTGCTCCTCCTAACACAGTATATAAAGCAGTAAATTACAGGGTTCTTTTACTGAAGTAATAGCTCAGTTATACCAAGATGAAATTATACATACTTTTAATATTTTAAACAGAAAAGGAAAAGTGTATCAGGCCATGAAGTGGCCCGTGTCAGAGTCCAGTGGCTATATCTTGTAAATATAATAATGAACTTTGAGAGTTTCATAACAGGCATTCTTAATCAAAAAGCAAAGGGACCCTGCTCCACAAAGTCAAAAATCTTAATGTACTTACCTTTCCTTCTTTCTCTGATGTACAGTTACAGTTTACTATATAATTTTTGGTACCATCTTCTATGGCTATGTCCCTGGTTACTTAATCTGTTAAGTGCTCTTTCCTTTTCTTGCTTTCCAAATTTGAAAAGATGAATTTTACCAGGTAGAATTAAATACATGTACTTTCACAACTCATATAAAAATGGACAAAAAACTTTGCATTAAAAAGAGTGCACAAGCATCAGCTGAAATGCTGAATATCTCAAATATATCTTAAGACTCCTTCCAACTGCATGATCTTGGCTCCACAGGAAACAGAATAACTTACATTTATCTGCATGAATAGAAAAATTAAAATCCTCCTACTGGTTTTATCCTCTGTCAAGACTAATACAACCAGGAACTACCACAACTTGAAGTTATGCGTAGTATTTATAGTTTCATTTTCAGTGAAAAGATGGTCAAGAGGTATTACAAATTTTACTGATAAGAACTTCTGTTCTTCACAGTTCCTGTACATTATAGGACCAACCGTTCTCCTACATTACATGTGTTATACAATAACATACCATTCAAATATTTTGCATATATTTTGAAAGCCATCTCAACAAAATGAAGCATTTCATTCTCATGACAGCCAGCAAGGAATCGTAACACTAGAGAGCGTCGCAGCTGTCCTGACCCTCCTGATCTAACACTTGTTCTTGCCAACATCTTGCTGTACAAAATCCTAAACGGAGAAACAAAGCACATGTGGGAGATACAAACCTTCAAAAGAAATAAAAGACTATTGACAGTCAAGAAAATTGTGTTAAAAAGAAAAGTTACATCCTTACCTCATGATGAATGGCATGAGTTCACTACGATGTTCTGTTTGAATTAATTCACTTTCCTTGTCAATTTGAAACACTGTCAATTCAGTCTTGAAAGTTTTATCATCAATCAAACCATACATATGTTCTCTGTAAGAAACAGGGTGCTTATGTTTACAAGACAATGACTTTTGGCATTATTGTTTGGTTTATATATTTTATCCTGTGTTGCTTCTGCTGTCCAGAGATAGGGACTAGTTCTATCAATTGGGTCCCACAGAGTAGGCTTTTAACCAGAGGACAGAGACAGAGTCCAGTCTCCAAAATGTCAGTTGAAACAAAAATTATGAAGATGGATAATGTCCACAAAATCGAACACTATTAATATACCGCTGTCATGAATATTTATATCTTATTCCTCTACAGTACTATGGACACGGTGTCTTTAAATGGGCAAGGTAATGAACGCGTCAATGTGCTACCAATGTGCTCAAGTGAACGCACACCAGAACAGAGCAGCTAGCTATATGAAATAGTCATGAATTTCATGAATGTGACATAAAAGTAATGATACAGAATATATTCACGTTTCTTGTGTCTTACAAACAAAGTAGGATTGGAAGAGTTATGTCTTCTGGGATATAATACTGTGTAGTCTGTTTCAAGTTCATCTGCTTCATGCTGACTTCTTCTTCAAGCCTGAAAATGGACTTAATATGTTCCTCCAAAATGCTGGTTGACTTTCAGCAAACCATGTGGCATAAGACAGAGATCTTTATAACCACTACTGTGAGAACCTCAAGTCCTACAAAGTAAGATACAGTATAATGAAAAAATAACAGAAATGTATAAAAGAACCTTACCGATAGGGTACCAAAAATTTATGCTTGTATGACATCAGGCAATCAAGGGCCATCTTCTGAACATCAGGATTCCTATGTGTTAATAAGTCAAGGTACATTTTATTCAAATCCGGTTCTCGATACATGGAACGTGGATTCTTCATTTTACTAAAGACACTCATATGTGCAAGTAAAGTCCTGTAACAATAAAGAACACTTAGTATGTTTCACAAATTTGTTATATATTTACACTTACATGACAACTGCAAGCAACAACAAAATATAACGAGAATCTGGCTCTTCAAAAACATATTCATGTGTTCTTTTCATGAACTACAAAAAATGAACGCACATAGCGCACGTTATGCCTGTCTGTATGCATATATGGATGCAGATATTTGCTTCTTATTGGTTATTTGCTTCGCTTACTGTTCAACCCTTAAGATGGGAGGGCAACATTTTCCCCCAAAATGCCAGAGAAGTCTGACTGCATGTCATCATATCCCAGTACTCTCATTTTACAGAAATTCTGAAGCAATTCAAAATCTTAGCATTCTTACTAGGAATGCTTCAGTAAGTTATCTACAGCAACAGCTGGGGTAACTTAGTGCAGGAACTAGGCTAAGGGTTGGGTGACCAAGAAATTGGGGTTCAATTCCTCACAGGGGCAACAGCACTGATAACAGCTCGGGGTCCCATTCAGCCTCCTACATGATGGGTATAGGAGCCCTTTACCTGGGGGGAAAGACACCAGGCTGACCACATATCTCCATCCAGTGCTGATGTTAATGGTGGAGCTATACCTTTCCTCCGCATACATCTTCATCGCATGGTGCTTAAGCACAGATATAACTTTACCTTTACTTTATAGAGCAGTGCATGGCATTACATCTGAGAAGGTAGTACTATCACTTTAGAGTCCATCTTTGTTCCTGTTGCTCACACTTGGAGCACAGGGCATCCACAAAATGCTTTGTTTTACTTCAGTTTAATATTAGACAGTTGGTAGGAGTCCTTGGATGGGTGATCAGCCCATCACAAGGCCGCTACCTACACAGGACAATATAAACACAGAATAAACGCAAACACACATGCCTTGAGTGGGATTCAAACCCATGATTCGAGTGTGCAAGTGAGCATGTGAAGACATTTCATGCCTTAGACCACATGGCAACTGTAATCAGCTCATTTTACAGCAGGTCTGAAGTAAATTCAGACCTTTACAACTCTAGGCAGAAATGCTTCATCAGAAGTTAAACTATAAACTGTATACACTGTATACTCATTTTAGTGTGAAAAAGTATGTGGTCAGTTAAGTATGAACGTCTTACTTTAACATTTCCTTTGCATTGGTCTGTGATGATTTTGGAACTTTCACAAGTTCTTTACTTATGGTTGTCAATTCTGCATCTTCCATTATCTCGTCAGCCTCCATAAGTTCTGTGTCATTAACTTTTTTCTCCTCCACAGGACTCCTGATCTTTATACTCCATGAATTTGCAACTTCTGCATTTGATTTGAAGTATTCCTCCCTTAAAAGGTAAAACAACAGACTTAAACTGCAAGACTGAACTAGTAAAATACCAGTACATTCAGTCAAAAGTAAAGAACTGTTATTTCATTATTTGCAATAACATCTACAGTATCTTTTCATTTTTACATCAAACTTTCTTTAATCCTATATGCAGACTATTGTCTCCAGTCCCAATGAAACTAAAATATGTAGCCATTTCTCTTAAATTCATGTCGCGAACTTTTTCTCCGTGAAATACAACAATAATAATAGATCTTCATGGATCCCACAGCAAATTAAGTTTAACGTTTGATTTCAATTTCAAGGCCAATTATTTCACAACAGGATGTTTGCCCATAAATCATCAATACAAACTGCTAGGGTTCACTGCCTTCAAATCATATCAAGAAAAAAGTTTTATAGTATTTTTTCTTTGTGTTAATGAAAATGTTGAAGGTAATGCATAAGAGTATATGATAAAGAATGTTAGATGAAGTGACAGAAGGTTGGAGAAAACTGCACAATAAGAGCTTCATAACATGTACTCTTCTCCAAATATAATAAGAAAGAGCCAGTCAAGGAAAATGAGATGGGCAGGGCATGTAGCACAAATGAAGGGAGAAGAGGAATGCATGTAGGATATTGGTGGGTAAGTCAGAAGTGACTACTAGGAAGACCAAGATGTAGGTGGGTGGATAATATTAAAATGGATCTTAGAGAGACAGTACAGGATGGTATGGACTGGACTGATCTAGCTCAGGACAGGAACCAGAGGAGGGCTCTTGTGAACATGGTGATGGAACTTTGGGTTCCATAAAATGCTGGGAAGTTCTTGAGTTTCTCCAGTTGCTGCACAACTGACAACTTCTCAAGAAGGGCTCAGCTCCATGAAGTTAGTTAGTTATATTCTGGCACTGTATTGGAAGTGACAGTGGTGACTGAGATGGAATGAATGACATTCACACATAGAGGGAAAACAACATGACAATCTCATGAACTGTCTGAGGTCACAATCCAGATTCAAGCCTGCTGCTGTGGACATAACATGACTTTGTGAAACTTTTTACTTTTCTCAGTTGTGGTACCAAGCAGGATGATCTAGCAGTAATGATATACTCCTATTCAGAAGGTACTTGGTTAAAATCCCGTGGGATACTGGTTATCCTGATTAAGGTTTACAGTCGTTTCCCCCAGCCAAATTCCAGAATAGTATCTCAATTAGGTCATGGCTGCTTCCTTCCAAATTTCTTCCACTTCATCATTAATTGTCTTTTTTTTTTTAAGTTCGCTTAGTGGGGGGGTGTCCAGCTGGGTCCACTCGGCATGGCGGCCACTGACTGGCCTAGTGTAGGCTGCCCTGGGTGATTATGATGATGGAGAATTTGGTGGAATGAAGATTGGCAGGGGAAACCGAAGTCCTCGGAGATAACCCGCCCCAGCGGCACTTTGTCCACCACAAATCCCCCTTGACCAGAACCAGGATTGAACCTGGGCCGCTATGGTGGGAAGCCAGTGACTAACCACTTGAGCTATGGTGCGGTCAATTAATCATCTTACCATGCGCTGGTATGTTAGTCCAGATACTGACAGCACTGCTAAATAACCCACTAATCCAAACCTAGTCGCTGATGTCCTGTATTAGGTTCAGTCTGGCATTCCGTATTTTCTACACCACACTCAGACTAATTGTTTTTAGGAAATTATTATTGACTAGAAAGGAACATAATGGTGATATGGACATGAGGTAAAAAGAAACTGGAACACAAAGGGTTAAATACTGAATTATGATTAATTTAATGAATAACATAAAGGTTCAAATTATTAAAACAAAACTCAATCTCTGTGAAGAATAATAAACTTTCAGCATAGGAAACTTATGTGGAATGTTCTTGAAATGAAATGAAATGAAATCCCTGAAACAATCTTACCCCAGAAAAGTGACAGTTCAAAGATGTTCCTTATCTTGATCTCATGAATTTCTGGGATCTATTTATATACAGCAGGCAATACTTACTCCAAGAATGTGAGAAATAATGGAGATATATCTCTGTTTTTAGTCTCACAGACTTCAGGGAATTCTGTCATTGTTTTCCAGAGCAACAGACGGTAATTATTATAATCTGGTTTGTCATCAAACTGATTATGTTTTGAAAAAAAATCTAATAGGAAATCACCTAAAAGAAAATAAACAATAAAATCATAACAAAGCAAATGCCCTTATTTACTACAAGAGCAGAAATACGCACTACTTAATATTACACACAGTGCCTCTTTTACTAATTTTATTAATTGAAATTATTCTTTGTATGTTACAAATGGTTTTCACAGGCTTTCTGAGAGGCAAAGGCTGGTGAAGTAACACTGTCCTTATGCATAAACTTCACACCATGTATGAAAGTCACATATGCAGCATAAACCAAATAAGAGTAGTTTTTAAGAGACACTTCAGCACATTCATGAAATGAAATTTTCTCAAGCAATTAACAATATTATTAATAATAATGAATAAAGTCTTCTTATGCTTATAGCCCAAGAAAATTCATTAACTTTACTCATGATGACAGCTTAAGATTTTACATTCCCCAAAATGTCTGACATTAACTCCATTTCCACACACCTGTCTCTCAAGAAAACTTCACCACGTACTGCCTTCCAACAAAAAGAAACTGAGATAGGTGACAGGTGGAACCAGCTGACCCTGACCACTTGACCAGTCATTTAGGGACACAATGAATTTCAGTTTTCCATCAGCAATGGTAAGAATGGTCTGAAAACTATGCTGATGTTTACAGTTTGCACAGTACAAATGTGTGGGGTCATGTGGTTGCAAAGTTGGTTCAGGTATTATGCTACAACCTGGAAGATCGTGGGTTTCATTCCTTAGGAGGTAAATGAATTTTTCATTTGACATAATCCTTCCAGCTGCACTATGGCCTTGGGGGTCAACTAAACCTCTAAAAGGAATCAGTATCAGGAATCTTCCTAGGGGTTGAAGGGTGGCTGATGCATTAGGCTGACCTCACTGCCATCTGTAAGTCAACCGTCTAGAAAAAAGTGGGAGCCTTGATGGCTCACAACCCTGGGGGCATCCATGGCCTGTTACAGGGATAGCTTTACTTTTACCTTTTACAGTACATATGTGCAGGCCTTGTTAACTGCCTCACTTTCTCTTAATTGGAGGTTAGTACAGTCACCATGACAGCTTCAAATCTTATATACATTCACAAAGTTCTGCATCAATATGTTTTATAACTACATGTAACCAAGTCAAGATTCATACATTAAGATACTCACGATTTAATGGGATGAAGGATGTTGATTCTGGTCTAAAACCTGTTATCTGTTGTTTAGCCAAATGCAGTTTCTCTCTAAACACTTCCCAGAAATCAGTTATATTCATTCCTTGTGCATATGAAGCAATGAGTTTGCTTGTTGGTTCCCACAGGAGTTGGAAGTTTATATACAAGTTTCCAAGCAGGAAATAGAGTGGAACCTTCAACAAAACAATCATCTTTAAGAGGTCCTATGGATCATGGGTCACACTTCTGATCATTAACATGCTGAATGACTTTTCAGTGATCAAATATTGACAAAGATCATTGTGTCATCATTAGAAAGTTACTAGATTCTATTTTCAATGTACGATGAGAATTAGAATGACTGTATCAGGAATCTCCTTAACACACAGGACTTCTCTTCTGTAAGGTTGCCTCAAGGTATGATATAACCTCAAAGATGATTTTAAACAAATTATACTGACACTATGTGGGATATGAAGTTCTTACATTCTTGCCTTCTAGGATGTAGTGTGGCACCATTTTACCAGACTACAGGCCATCACATCCCTGAAGACTGTAACCTTAACCGAAAAGACACTTGCTTTACTATCCCCCACCCTTACATTAAAATGGACACTCACCTTACTGTACTCTGGGTACTTTGACAAATACATAGAAACTGCTGTGAATTCTAAACCTTCAAGATGTTGCAGTTTCTTTCTGTATTCATGTACCATGGGTGGAACTAGTTCTGCAGACATGCATAGACTGAAGACTGGCCAGTGAATGGTTCTCTCTGATCCATCTGAGTCATGTGGTTGCTCAAATAAGGAGAAAATATGTAAAGTCAACAGCCGAATCTGTACGCAGAAAACAAAATGACTGTCTATTGACCTGGCACAAATGTCTTGAAAATGTTATACCTGTAAATTTAGATTACATTCAGAATTGCATACTTAATGGTCTACTTATATATTAGATATGTAAGCTGGGGTAGTGTGGTACGGACTGGGCTCATCTGACTCAGGACAGACACCAGTGGAGGGCTCTTGTGAACATGATAATGAACTTTCATGTTCCATAAAATGTTGGGAAGCTCTTGAGTAGCTGAGTGACTGGCAGCTTCGCAAGAAGGGCTCAGGTCCATGGAGTTAGTGAGTTAGTTAGTTAATGGTCCATTATTGTGGAAATTAATAATGCAGGGAAATATCAGAACATAAATATAAATAATAAATCCAGTGAAATTTGGCAAAGACCAAATATTTGGGAACAATGACAACAAATCAAAATTATGTTTACAAATCAATTAAGGTTACATTAAACACACGGAATGCTTGCTACCGTTCAGTTCTATACGGATTCATTCTTCTATCTCCTACCTAAAAATGCAAACATTACAATACAAAAAACTGAATTTCATCCATTGTGTTCAATGGACATGCTCCCTGGTTTCTTACCCCAATGAAAGAACACAGACTGAGAGTGAATAAGAACATCTGGACTTATGCCAGAGTAAGAATCAGAAGGGTGGCAAAAATTTATAATGAGAGGCTTTATAATTTACATTTAAGCACTTAAAATCAAGGGAGCAAATGGTGGTAAGGTATGTAGTATGCATGAGTGACATAAGAAAAGAATACAAAATTTTAGTCAGAATACATGAAAGAAACAGACCACTGAAGAGCCAAAGACATGGATTGGTGCATAATATTAAAATGTATCTTGAAGAAACGGTCTCAAATTTTCAACTGGATTCATTTGGCTTAGGATAGGATCCAATTGCATGGTATTGTGAACATGAAAATGAACAATGAGGTTCCATACAAGATATCCTTCAGAAGCCTAAAGTTTGTAGAACATCTACTGTCAGAGTCAAAGTCAAAGTCATACTGCGACTGACGGCCACTCAGTCAGTTAAGTCTTGGTGTCGAGCACCCTCCTGGGGCTCATGACCAGATATTCTTTACTGTTTGACAGTTATGGTCTTGTTTTTTGTGGGCACCCTCTCTGACGAGAGGATGGGTCTGTCTTTTGTATATGCTGCTGGTCCTTGCCAGCGCAGTCTTTCTCGGGTCTGAGTTCCTTGGTACTCGAGACCATATATGACTGTCTCAAATTTGAGACTTCCCTTTTTGTCGCCTCCTACGACTTGCAGGATCATGGTAGAGGCATTTGACCCTGCCACCACATGGGTGAACACCTACTGTTAAGATATACTGTAACTGATATCACAATTCATTTGAAAAATAACAAGTTTATTACATATATATATATAGCAGTAATTCAACTGTCACAAACAAATACAAGGAAGCAAATAACTACTAATGGGCTTGGCAAGTTTGATCTTACCTTATGAAAAGGTGAAGACAGGTTCCGTAACAATTTCGAATACAATCTCCCAAATAACTGCAAACTATAAGCATCTTCTTCTTCCTTTGGCTTACAGGCAGTTAAATACAAATCCAGTGCCCTTAATGCATCAAGGTTTGCATGATCACAAGCATATGGCAGTATAGAACTCACAAGCATATCTAAGCTGCATGCCTCCTTCAGGGTTTTGCTGTCAGTCAAGTGAATAAGAGTTTCCAAAACAGTTGGCAGCAGAAGGAGAAGAACTCTTATTCTTTCTTCACTCAAAATACCTTCACTCTGATTACACTTCCTCTTAAGTTGTGTACTTTTAGACAAGTCCAAGTCACGTTCATGTATACTTTCAACATCATCCATAGTTCGTTCCAAAGAAGAACACAATAACAACAAGACATGTTTCAAGTGTTTTATGGCTAGATCTTGATTGAACTGTTTCATGTGTGGAAGGCAAATTGTGACACAAAAGAAATCTTCCACATTCTTTAACAATTCATTAATATCATTCACACACAGCACATCAAGAAACTGGCTTGGCACAGTGATGTTCTTCTCATTAGTTTCCTTCCTAAAAATAAATACAAGTAATAATTTTGTTGGATTTGAAATTCTCACAGTGGTGACTACAAAATGTACTATCTTCTGGAATGTGACACTATACAGTACAATAGAAGATCACCAACACTTCGAAAGAATGTACTGCCCCCATCTTCAGGGACAAAAATTTGCTGCCTGCTTCTTGCTGGTTAAGGGCTTGGCTTACTTTTAAACATTGAAAAAGGAGCTAATATGTCCTTCCAAAATGTCAGTAAACTTCTACCACACTACACGGTGTCACATCCCAGAAGACAGTACTCTTCCAATATTATTTTGCCTCTACCATACATATGTTCATGTGCACAATGTCTTCTATTACTACACTCTCCCACCATTTGACTTATACGAAGCACAGAGTTCTAAAATTCTTAACATACTAACCCATGCTGAGCACATAAATTTATAAGTCTGCTCTCGATCTAGGTCCATACTACATTTTATATTCCAAGATGCAATTGTTCATTAGTTATAGCCATGAAACAAATTGCAAATATAAATGTCATGCATTACACTGTAAAAAGGCCTCAACAAAGTTTCATATTAATTTAAGAAAGTAAAACAGCCCAAACAAAGAAAAGCAGGCTGAACAAACAAATTGTGAATGTTAAGATGACACTTGGAAAAAGTAATACTGCCAACCACATAAGAAACCAACCTAGTCACAAATAAACCATGCACTGTTACCAAATTTGTTATGTATGCAACTTCCCACCACTGTCAACCTCCTCATGAATAAGTCACACACCCCAGCTTTTTATCACATTGTCTTTAGAAAAAAAAGTGTGCGGGACATTTGAGAAAATATGGTAACAAAATATCTTTTAATTTCTTTACTTCACTTTGTACAGGGTCATGAAAATAGAGATGTTCATTATACAAAAAAACAGAACTCCGAGGCTTTAGTCGCAAGCAAACTATACTGACCAGGCAACTGCCACTTGTCAGCGAAGTAGTGCCATATTCATTACACCTGAATTAATAAATTTGGTGTCAAAGAGCACAAAAAAATTTGGAGTATATTATCAGTTAGTAATACATCTTTTATTAACATCCACCTCAGTTTCCACGTTTTCCAAAGCCGTGAACCTATTTGGGATTTCAACACAATACTGCTCTTTACCCTCTACCTCATTTAATTTCTTGAGACTGAACCTCTCCATATGAACTCTGTGTGTTGTTTGTTTGCTCACTGCCAGTCTTTCCCTAACCCCT